GCTTTGGTGTATGGAGGCAAGTCAGATTTCTCATAGCACTGCAGTATCAGCCAGTGGCCTTGAAGCAGGTAGAGAACAAAACTAAAAAAAAAATGTTAGTCCTGTTGGATTCGAGGTCCCTCAACTGGAGGTAATTGAATATGTTTCCCCTTTTAAAGAAACAAATGCCTTTTAAACTTAATACTATGGGTTAAACAATAGGGCTGCAGTGATAAATTTCAGGCAGAAGAATAAGGTAAGCAGCTTTAAGGGGCAAAGATCAGAGTGTCTTCAGATGTAATAGAGTACTGGATTGCTTACTTAAATTTTGTTTGACTTGTGAGTGGTCTGGTTGGTGAGGAGGAGGATTTCCTAAAGGTCTGGGCTTAGAAAAGGATTCTGAACTCAAAACCTCCTGACCAAGGCCACTAAGAGACCAACCGGAATACAACCTCTTTCAGGCTGGACAAACATCCTCAGAGCTGTTTTAAAACTGAAGGCAGAATTTCTAAATAGTGTGCACCTATCACTATGTTGCCTCCAAGAGAGGTACACTTTAAAAGAACTAAAAAATAAGCAAACTCAGGGCAAATGAATATATATAATAAACAGATAAAGTAGCTTAATAAAGATTTTCCAATTTACCATTTACCTCATCAGAGTTATAAATTACTTCTTGTAATTTAAGGTGAAGACAAATATTAAGTTAGCCTTATTTAACAAGTGTATGATTAAAAGGGAGATGTAAATTTTATCAATGGTCATATGGTCAGGAGTCATAATTAGAATCTCAGCCAGTAGAAGTGCACCAGCTCTATTTTTATCAAAAGAGAGACTATTTTAAAGAATGCAGTACAGTGGTACTGCAGAAGTAGTGCAAATCACGCTTTTAAAGTCTTACCTTAGAAATGAGATAGCATCATTCCTTCACTTTCTAGTGTTTAAGGACTCATTTTTGATTCTGTGTACTAAGTCATTCCAGAAACAAAGTAATATGATAAATTATGGAAAATATTAAAAATAAAATTTCAAGCTAGCAAAAATGCAGTTAAAAATAATCTTAATTATAGAATTGTTATCTTCTTCAGACATATAATGTATATGTAAAAACTGATATGATGAATTATTACTCAATTGTATTCTTAAAAGTTTGTGAATATTAACTTGTACTATATACAATAATCCTATTATTTAAAATACTGAATTTCTCCCAAGAACTCCAAATCCATTACAGATGTTATTACATGAATTCTCACAACAAATCCAAGAGAAGGGCAGGTACTATAATCGCTAAGCCTGAACCATATCTCAAATTCATTTGAAGGGTTAAATAAGTATTTCCCAAGAGGTTTCCATCCATGACTCTGTCCTTTTTCCCTAAGGAAATTAAGTTAGAATACCTTTCTGAGCTTAATTCCAAATATATTCTTCAGAAACGGGATTAGTATCTGCCTCAAAGTAAAACCAGAGCCTCTGAAAACTATGTGACAAGTTTCATAATGTCTAAGAATTTGGAAATAATTAAAAATGTAAGAGCATTAGTTATAATTACATAGTGAACATTTTAGTATTATTATTATCCATATATCTTGGGAGAATTTTACATATTATACACATAGCTGTATATATATAATATAGATATATTATATATATGGTGACTCAAACATTTAAAAAATGACCTGCTAGCTATATACAGAAAACTTCAGGATTGCTTTTTCCATATGTAGTATAAAGACTCATCACTATAAAATTATTGGCTCCCTAGCCTGTGGTTTCTGGAAAATGGGGTGTTGTTTCAGAAGTCATAAAAGTACAGTGTTAAGTAGACCAATTTTCAAAACTTTATGTTTAATATTTACCAGTTTAAAATAATTATACCTAACTCCATGGCTATCCATCTGAAAAATCAATGCCAATCACTGGATTGTGACGCTTGTTATCCATAAAAATAAGTGCAAATTTAATGACTCTTTAAAACAAAGATCATCTTCTATGGTCACTGGGATATTACGGTCAAAGCAGCTAGTACCTGGCCATAGTCTATAATGCTACACTAACATATTTTATTGCTAATATGCATTCTTCTTCTAAATTTGTGTTAATATCCAATTTGCTCTTTTAAAGAAAACTTGTCCTTATAAGCTATTATATTAAATTTACTAGATTCTAGAATCTAGGGTTCAGGCTACTATTGCTGTACTGGGTTTATGATATGATTTCTACCTTAGAAAACTATGTTCAGCAGTTGTATGGTAAAAGTAAACAAAGTCCTGATGTATTGGATAGTATTTTATTTGACACTATCCAAATATCAAACAGAAATGGAAACTGCATAATCGAGGCTTGGTTATAATAAAAGGAAAAATTCTACTTGAGTGCATCACATATATTACACTAGTTACAGTTAAATGACTTATCCAGGGACATCAACTCTATGGATATGGGATATCTGTATATTTAAAAATATATATATTTAGCTGTATATAAATAATCATGCCCTGAATGCTGAATGTGGATACTCACCTGTCCACAAGGAATCCTCAGGTGCATTAGTATGTTGGCACACTGTTTCCCAAAAGCATATGCACGTATATTTTTAACGATTACCAACTGTTCAGCATCACCTTAAACTATTTTCTCTTCAGTAAAGCTAGTTATCTTAGACCTTCCCTACAGAAGTTCACATTCCCTTGATCACAACTATACTCATTGCTATAGGAGAATTCCGGGACCTCTGGGACTTCTTGCCCCAGCAGAACTTTGCTGGTTTCTATAGAACCAGATGGGACTTCAGTTTCAAGTTCAATGGCTCTTTACTGAGATAGATGAACTTTGCTATAAACTGATTCTTTTCAGCTCTGGCATCTAGATGGAAATTAAATCAACTGCACTGTTGCATTTTATATTAGGAGGAATCTCATGTGTATAAACTTGTTAGTCATGAATACCATTTATAATAGAAATAACTCTTTTAAGTGTAGACTGTTTTCTAAATAATGTGCACTTTATACCATGTGATAAGGCCTAAAATATGTCTGATGTAAAAACCATCTCTGTTGTGTCGATGGGTAAAATATCCTGTGGATAGACTTCTTGAGCTGCTATCCCCAAGAGGCTGCAGCCCCAGTGATCCCCAAGAAGAGGCTGCAGGCAGCGGCCCCAGTGATCCCCAAGACGCTGCAGGTAGCAGCATGAAGGCACACTGCAGAAGACACCATACTTCCTGAGAATGTGAAAATAAAATTTCTCTTAAAATTTATAGCATGTTAAGATGCTAAGTCATGGGACATCATCTCAACACTGTGCTTTGATTCATCTTTGAGAAGCCAAGACTTTGATGTAAATGTACGTGGTTTAAAAGTTACCAAAGTTACTAAAAGGTATGATCCATTTTGCTACCAATTTCCTATTCTGGGACAACGAACCTCCATACAGCTACTTGGGTGTTTGGTTTCATTGTGAAGAACAGTGTGCCTGCTGCTTATCACCATGTATTTTCTCTTCCCTCCGAGTCCTTCAGGCTAGCAGTCCATGTGACAGCTTAGCTGAGGGGAAAACAAATTTCAGCAGCCAGGGGTCTGTGCCTACCAGCAAACAAAGATGATCACCAAAGTTTAAGCACCTAACCCGTTAAGTGTGAATAGTGTTTATGTGAAAAGCTGGCAGCAGTATAAAATATGGCTAACTTAGTTTAACAATAATCTGCACCTCTGAATATACTTTAGAAGAATTTATACCATCAAAGAATCCTAAAGGAAGATATTAACTGAGATGAATTTTGGAAATTTGCGTATGTTAACGTATCTAAAGAAGGAAAGGTGTTTTCCTAATCAAAAAGTTTACTTTCTAAACAAAAAGTACATTTCCTAACAAATGTAAAAAAAATATAAAACATTATTTAATACATATTATATAATACATACACTGTACATATTATATAATACATATAGTCTACTGAGAGAAAACATTTGACGATTTTTTCCAGATTTCATAAATTGTTCAGTGGATTTGGTTCACAACACAACAAACTGAAAAAATACCCTAATGATCACATCACAGAAAGCAAACTGATTGTTCACATAAACCCCCAACTGCAAACTTATGAGGCATTTTTCAGCATCACAGAAATTTTCAGAGGCATGATACATTTGCTGATCATATCCTAATAAAAAACTGTATAAAGCAATAGGTACACTTTCATCAGTTAAACTTTTACAACAGATCAGCTTTCAGAGTCATTCTGCTGTAAGGTTTGCAGGATAAGGCACTCTCTTGGCCGGCATGGCCTTGCTTGCTGTGTACATGTTAACGAAGCATCAGCCCATCACTGCAACAAATGAGAGTGCAAGGTATTGCTCTTCATTTTTTCATAAGAGAGAGCATGAAGGGAAAAAACTAATATAGCTGCATAAATTAGAACGGATAGCCATACAACTCTGAAATAACGAAGCTATGTTGTGCTGAGCAGACTTCCGATGTCAGATTTGGATGGTAGTAGACTAGCTGTAGCACTGACATTAAAATTCTGCTTCTGTAAGAAATTGAATATATTAGGAAAGAAGGCCAATAAACCATTATTTTTTTCTAATAAGAGTAGCTGACCCTTCACTAAATACTGAACTAAATGGCAGCTTTACAAAACTATTTCAAGTATTCATTATCACAGTGAAAATGTAGACCAATGTTAGAGTGAATGATTTGAAAATTCCTTGGATGAAAAAGGCAAGGGTACTAAATCAAAACATATACAAAATGCTTCAACGCATTTCTTTATGTGATATGAATAGAAAGATTATCCATAAAAAGTTAGAAAAATTAAGATAAATCATATATTAGTACACCTTCTCAACCACATTTTATATAAAAATTCAGAACAGTGTACTGGTATTTCAATCTACACAATAAAAATGCCTGGACTTGGCAGATATCTTCTATCTGTGCATGTATTTTCTCAGTAGAAGGTTGGTTTGTTGCAGTCACTTTTTGGAAGTTTTATTTGAATTGTGAGCCTTACTGAATCATCAGTAAACCCAGCTGATTGGGACCCACTGTGGCTCCATTCTTAGTTTCTCTATGGCAGTCTGCAGTTTCTCAAAGGCTTTGTCTAGATTGTCATTGACGATGATGAGATCAAAATAGTGGTTGTATGCTCTTTGAATCCGTGCACTTTCATCCACTGTTTTCTTCAAGTCAGAGTCCTGTCAAAGAGTTTTAAGAGGAAAAGTTTATACAATGTATACTTGCTCACAATCAAAGTGAAATAAGAAGTAATTAGGATAGATATTTGAGTGTGATATCAATCCTCAAAATCTAATCTACATAGAGTATTAAAAAATATATTACCATCTCTTCATATCCAGTCATTCCAGCTGCATTCATGTTTGCATTTATGAGTATTCTGTGTCTTCTGTTTCACTGATACTAAGATAAGATTCCTAATTAAAAGACTTTTGACAATAATCTTAGGGTGAAATCCAAAGTAATAAGGAATTACCGTAGGTCTTTAGCCTCCAGGTAGCGCTAGTGGTAAAGAACCCGCCTGCCAGTGTAAGAGATGAAAGAGACGCAGGTTTGATCCCTGTGTTGGGAAGATCTCCTGGAGGAGGGCATGACAACCCATTCCAGTATTCATGCTTGGAGAATCCCATGGAGAGAGAAGCCTGGTGGGCTATGGGCCATAGGGTCGCAAAGAGCAGGACATGACTGAAGCAACTTAGCACAGCACAGCCTGACTGCATCATCCTTCTCAAAATATTTTTACCTTATGGAGTCTGTAAATCATGGAACCCAAATTTCAGTGGCTGTTAAGCTTAAATTTTACTGCCTTTTTCTAAGAAAGAGAATCTTAGAAGAATAGTTTGAAGACTACATGCTCCCCACCCCCAACAACAACACACACACACACTTTAATTTGTTATATATTTCATTATTGTTTATGTTTCATAAAATACTTCTAGTCATTCTGGAATATTTAGGGAGAATAAGTAAAGAATGGGTTTTGTCATGAGCAAGTAAAGCTTTTCATTAAATTGTGTTTTGAAATTTCACAATACTTCTACAGGTTCTCCAAATATTAAGTTCCTATTAAAATGTCTGTTTCATAATCTGTGGATATAACAGTGAATAAGACAGAATGTGTTCCTACCATTTAGTGGAGGAGACAAATAAGAGGGCAAATAAACAAAAACTTGCAAGTTGTAGTAAGTACTGTGAAAAGAAACTAACCAGGACAAAGAATTTTAAGAGACCTACCTTAAAGGGACCTACCTTTTAAGAGACCTACCTTAGAGAGACAATAGTAACTCTACATATGAATAAATGACATTTAACCTACCTAAATGACATTTAAATTGAGAACTACAGTGGAGGAAAGAGCATTCCAGGCACAGGAAACAGCAATGTAAAATCCAAGGGGAAAAAGGATACTGAAAGATACTAAAAGACCACCAAGATGGATGGAGGACAAGGGAGGATGGGATAATAGGTTGAGATAGCACAGGCTAGGTCATGGAAGACCTAGATGGGATGGAAAGACATCTCTGGATTATGACGGAGGCAGAGAAAACGGAAATGACAGCAGAACAGACAGATATTTTGGTGATAAAATTATCAGGTTTAGCTGATGGGCTGATGGAATGTGAGGAATATGAATGAATCAAAAATAGCTCGAGTTTCTAGCTTGAATAAATGAATAGTTGCAGAAGATGCAGAGTTGGGTGGGTGGGAGTGGGGAAAATATGATTTTGGGTGGGGGGTAAATAAAACATTCTACTTTGTACATGCTATGAGACATCCAGGTGCAGCTGTAATGTTAAGTAGGTGAATGCTAGTGTAAATTGGAGCTTAGGTCTGGGTTATCTATACATAAACTAGGAACATCAGCCTAATAATGGTATATAAGTTAATGGATTTGGTGAAACACCTAAAGGAAAGTAAAATAGTGAAGTGGGTTCTCAAGTAAGCTGAGGGATATTAGTACTTATATTTTAGTTACTATTTTCACTGAGATCTCTAAATCAGTTTGAAACAACTAAAGTATCTTTGGGTTTCCCTGGTGGCTCATATGGTAAAGAATCTGCCTGCAATGCAGGAGACCCAGGTTCGACACCTGGGTTGGGAAGATTCCCCTGGAGAAAGGAATGGCAACCCACTCCAGTATTCTTGCCTGGAGAATACCATGACCAGAGGAGCCTTTTGTTATAGATGTATAAACAGGCCAACTTATAAACAAATCTTATCTAGTATAGTTATTAGCAATCTGTCCTGTTAAAACACAAATCAATTCTATTTGACAATAATAATCCTGTAACAATTATCTAGTATACCATATAGATGGAAGAATAAAAACCTCTCTATGGCTACAGAATGATCTCCAGAATATATTAGTAAGTGAAAAAGGCAGGCAGACTACTGTATGTAATAAGCTACCTTTAATGTAAGAAATGGGGGCAGAAGGATACACACACATATTTATATTAAAAATTGTGAAAATAACCACCTATGTAGGTGGGAGATTGGAGTAGAGAGGAACAGGAAAAGCTAAATTTTGTTTGATTTAAAGATTTATTCTGGAACTATGAAAATGTATAGAATTATATGACAAAATTAAATTCAAATAAAAAATAGTAATACCTAAAACTTAAAAGCAAAACAAATATGTGTTTCAAGTTGATGGCTTAAACACAATTATTTTAGTGACTTTAAAATAATATTCAAGGGATATATCATAAGTACAATTTTTTAAAAAAGTTTTAAGTCTGAAACTTAAAACTTCTCAATAATCACACTGTTAATATTATTACTGAAGGAGTCTTTTGGGCCTAGAAAAGAGAACAACAGTCTCAAAGGCCCCTTGCTGAATCATCTAACTTTGGAGAAAACAAAGTATAACTTTAGTTCCACCCTGATGCTCCAGGCCGGTTGCATCTATCTGGGACTTATCACCCCCTGTCCGGAAACCTACCACCCCCTCCACCCGCCCAGAAGACTCATCACCCCCTGCCCAACTACAAGTGTCATCTCAACAAAAGAATACTCAAAATATCCCGCCTGATTGATGTTTCCCTATCGCTTCCACAAACCTCCCTATAAATATGGAGCCTCCCTGATCCCTCTCGGCACTCAGCCTGGTCGTTAGGCCGACTGTTGCCCCTCCTTGCCTGAATAAAGGTAACATACTTCTGTTGAGGTCGTCTTTCCTTTTCTGCCTCGCCGGAACTGTACCTTACAATTACTCAGGAATTACATATATAGTATGTGCTTATTTTATATATGTAAAGTCTGAAATTATGTTAATGTTATTAGGAATGAAGACTTTCAGCATAGGAGGAAAAAAGATGATTAAAAAAAGTCAAAGAAGTTAAGTAAAAATGTAAAACCTGAGTAGGAACTATCAAACTGAACTAATGATGTCTATTTTCCAAAAGGGGGAAATATGTTTCCTTTACTTGGTCACTGAGAAGACCCTGAAACAATGACCAGCTAAGTAGAATGCACACCTCTAGCACCCACAGGAGGTCTAAATACTATTTCCCACTAAAAGGAACCAGGGCTTTTGGAAGGCTGGTTTCAGATCTGGGCCAAGAAGTGTGTAAGGATAACCTGGAGCAGCTTGTTGTACCAGGAAGCAAAGAATCATTGAAGGTTATTGGGGTTGTATTAGAAAGACTCAGAAAATAAGAGGAATCGGCTCCTCCTAACTGAAGATGAGACAATTTACACATCAAAGAGTAATAACTAACTTAAGCACAGACATAGGGAGTATTTCAAGTGACTTTAAAATACACTGATTTGATTTGACTGATAGTGGGAAAAACCCTAAAGATAAAGGAGACAGTTCACAGGAATCATATCTGGTAGCATTTGTACACTTATATTCAGACTGTTGTGTACTGTTGAGATAAAGCAAATGAGCAATTATGTGCTACTCTTAACATTCCCAGTGTTTCTGAGAACTGGGATACTCAGCACAGGAGAATGGAGTTACCATATAAAAAAGGTTAAGTAAAACCCTGTAAGCCTGAATTTGATTGGGAAGTGTCAGTATACATTCATGATACTGTTTCCTTCATACATACAAACAGAAAAGCATATATCCAAATGAGCTCCGTCTACCTAAAAGGTGCATAAAGCTAGAAACAGTGATCAATCTTGGGACAATGTGCATCCTTAATATTATAGTCCTAAAATAAAATACCATTTACTCTAAAAGGAACCAGAGCTTTTTGGACAAATAGCTGACTCCTGGCTTGGAACAGAAAATGTACAAGATGAGCCTGGAACATCTGTCTTCCAGCAGGGAAGCTATATGAGACCATTAGGCTCATGAAATAGATCTCAAGGGCCAACTTAAGTAAGCCCCTGTTGGTCAAAGATGGGGCAATTTGAACATCAGTAAGAATAATAACTGCAATAGAGTAAAATATATCAAGTTTAAATCCATGTGCTTGTGGATTTAAAAACTAAAAAAACACAAACCTTATTTGGTCACCTGTGGAGCCTGTTATGGAACAAACCCATTATTCTGAAAACTGACCTATAAAGGGGAAGTATCAAGTACATTTTCTACTTTTCTGTAAATACTCTACTTCAGAGTAATCAACTAGTTGATGAAGAAAAGTCATTACTTAGAAGAATTCTAGTTTATAAATGCAGAACGAATGACAAACTTGGAATACTACCACTTCACATCACAGTTCCTAAAAAAAAAAAAAAAAGACAAAAGATATCAGAAGAATCCTCCTGCCTCACAACTAAGACCGCAAGTATGGAATAACAAAAGACACTTTTGTTGTTTTGATGTGCATCTTTCGCATGTTAGCAATGGAAGACAGGGATTCCAGAGACAGGAAACGGTGAGCCCCTATGATTACCCCAGGTTACACACCAGCTTGAAATAGCTTCCAGTCTGCAACACAGGGAGGTGGAGCCCGGGAGGAGGCTACTGAGCTCTCTAAGTTGTCGGCAGAGCTGACAGTCCAGGGAGAACAAGGTGGCAGGAGCTTGCGGGACAGGATACAGGATGGAATAGCAACATGGAGAGAGAACTCTGGAGACTTGCAAAAGACGCCCCTCCAGCAATCAGCTGAATACCAGTCCATGCACAGGACAACTACCCAGGGTCACCAGACTCACCAGGAGGGATGAGAGATTCACTCTGAGCCGGAAACAATACCCACGCCCACGGGCAGAACAGAAAACCTCCTGAGGCACAGGCCATCTGAGACAGCACGCAAATGGGCTCTGCCTCAGCACTCAAGAGCAACTGCCCTTAGAATGGGGGCTGCACTGGCTTTAGAGCAAGACCTGAATGGAACAAACAATTTCCAAACAGCTGCATTTCCCAGGACAAAACTCACAATATCGGGTATCCAATAAATTACCAGGACAGCAAAGCAAAGGTGCAAGAAAATAAGACTCACAATGAGGAGCAAGGTCATTAAATAATCCAGAACTGATGCAAATGCTAGAATCTGAAGACATTAAAACATTATTATAACTATATTTCAGATATTCATAAAGCTCATTAGAGACATGGAACAACCTGAAAAAGAACAAAGAAGACTACAACTACCTGATTTCAAGGCTAATCAGCTAAATTGTGCAAGAGGTAGAAGCAGGAGGGAGGGACTGTGGAGGGGCACAAGGAAACTTATGGAGGTGATGGACATGCCTTCTTCTTGACTGTGATGGCCTCACAGGTGCATACAGAAGCCCAAACTTATCAAGGTGTATACTTTCAACATGTATAGTTTATTGTATATCAATTATACCTCAATTACGCTGGGGTGGGGGGGAAATGATTTAGAAGACATTAGGTAAATGCAATGTGTTAATCTCGTTTGGATCCTGATTTGAACAAACCAACTAAAAAAATTATAAATACTGAGGAAATTAAAATACAGACTATATATTGATGATATTAGGAAGATGCTCTTCCTAATGTTTACATGTTAATGGTTTCATGGTTACATCCAAAATGTCTATCTTTAGAGATAAATACTAAAGTATTTATGGTTGATATGATATCAAAGATATGCTCCAAAATAATTCAAGGTAAGGGAGGAAGTGAAGAGAGGTCTAATTGTAACAAAAATGGCCATGTGTTATTGAAGCTAAGTGGTGGGCACATGGGAATTCATTTCTTCCCTCTTTTCTACATATTTAAAATTTTTCACATGAGAAAAAGAGAGGGAGAAGTGAAAACCTGTAACAATTAAAAGTCAGTACACCTAACTCTACCCATAGTAAACCTTATGAACATGCTTGTTAATGGCCCTGTTTCCACATTAGTAAAAAGAGGGAATTAGATTAATATGTACATTTTAACACTGTTCCATTTCCTTTTCACACAGAGTAAACTTCTGTTTTAAAATGGAGCAGATGATGATTTTTAAGTAAAAGCAATATTGTTCTAAATCCTAACTATATCCAGGGAACATATTTTTATTCTCTGATACCTTATGTAATGTGTTTATTTCATAAATATGAATAGATAGAATTAAACATGCCCAAAAGAAAAAGGAAAAACTTTAGGAGGAAAATAATACTGCTAGCCTGAAAAAAACTGCTCACCGTCAAAAGTTTGGTAGTGATACCAGCATCCACTACAGCCTTGTGCATGGCACGTAAGGTATCTAGTTCTGGAGCAGCAATAAACACAACATAGGGCATGAACTCGGATGTCCTCAGCACTTTTAGGGCCTGTGTAGAAGAACAGTTGCAAACCAATTCATATAGGATTAGAATTTGAATTATGTTACCCTTTAGTTTATACTAAATAATCAAAGTCCACCAGCCCTCTTCCTAAAGATAAAGGACACCTGCTCCCCATCCCCCCACCTCCCTTCTATCCTTCTGATTCCATATAGTGATCCATTAATTTTGTTCTGTTTTCAGTCTCACTACTCTTTGGTACCCCTGAACAAAAAGAAAAGTATTAAACTTAATGATCCCAAATCATTAAGAATGATATAAATGCTTACTATGTTAACTGTAGAATTCTGTTAATATTGAAAAAGCAGAAATAATTTCAGTGTCCATTAACTGGAGAGTGGTTATATAAACATGTATCTGTACTATGAAATATCATGCAGCAATCACAAAAAAAAAGTACCTAACATGAAAAGATCTTCAAGAAATACTGCTTAATGAAAAAAGGCTAAAGAATCTGTATAGATTTTTTTCCATTTATGTATATAAGAAACAACAACAAAAGTAGAAAACCCATTACATTTTCTCTCTCTCTCTCTATATATATATATTTTATTTAAAGCATACTTAAAATGACAAAATGATATGCACAAAACTATTAATAATATAAATCTCTGAGCAGGGAAGGGAGATTGGGTTGAGTGTAGAGTGGTGGGGAGGGGTCAGTAGGGAGACACAAAATGAGAATGAAATGAATGGGATATGTGTGTGAATGTGTGGGGGTGTGTGTGCTGGGTGGGAAGGGGTGTGACTTGAGCATATACTACCATCCAAGTCTCTGTTGGCTAATGGATTAGACATTTAATAAACTAGCTGTAGATGCATAATAAGGTTCTCTATCACAACAGGTAATACAGGAAAAGAGACATCCTCATAATCAGAAGACAAAAACTCCATAGGAACTAAAACTTAAAGAACAGCTTTGGAATTCATGCAGCTTACTTGTGGGTTGACATCCAAAATGCAAGTTCTTCCAGTTTGGACAACTTCAAGAATAGAGTCGATCTTGGTTCCGTAGAGATTTCCTTCGTATTCCCCATGTTCCAAATACTTTCCAGCTTTAATATCAGCTTCCATCTCAGATCGTGACACAAATTTATATGCTTGGCCATCTTTTTCATCTTCTCTTGGTTTCCGTGAAGTAACTAAATAATAACACAGCATTGAGAATTTGTATAGAGACAATGCAATATATTAAAATATAAACTAAAATGCATAGGGTAGCTTAAGACTTTTACATTCAGTGCAGGGGTTGACAAACCATGGCCTATGACCAACTCTTATTTTTGTAAATAAAGTTTATTTACAAAACCTGCTTGCTTCTTATTGTAAATAATAAAACTTTTGTAAATTAAGTTTTACTGGCACATAGCTTTGCTCATTTTATCACCTATGCTTTTATTCATTTTACAAAGGTAGAATAGCTACAGTATAGACTAAATGGACTACAAAACCTAAAACATTTACTATATGATCCTTGAATAAAGAAGTTTGCTGACCCTGATCCACAGAAATGTTTTAAGAGGTAGTCTCCAATATACAATTTACATCCGAAAAATATGCTTTATAAAGTCAGTTTGAAACTCAAAATAAATTTACCTAGAAGCAGAGCCCTAACTTGAAATTCTTAACTAAGGTAAGAGCTAATAAGTGTGAAGTATATTGCAAGTGAGTATCTTTTCCATTTGACCAATACTCCCTTTCTCTTAAGGAACATTAATTTCTTTACACTTTAACATTGCCTAATTGCAAGTCCAACAAGTGAGCAAAGTTCTATTCTTAGTTGGTATTATCAATTTTCTGAAGTGTAGTTTTACCCACAAGTTGTCTATCCTTTATCTCACCCTAGTACCACACCTTTCTTCTAGCTTCCTTCTAATTGATATTTCCAAATGTTAATTGTTTTGTTTTGCACCTCAGTGGTAGATCTAGCCACCTGGATGTTACTATACTCTACTTTCTCTGACCTGAAATAGTCTTTCTGAGAGAATGAGAGAAAGGAGATCAAGTCAAAGATCCTTTTATCTGATATCTGAGAAACATGCAACTCCTTTGCAACCTGGTTGTGCTAGGAATTGATAATTATCACCTTTCAAATTGTTGCAAAGATGCAGTTAGGTGCTCTCTGCCAACTTGCTAGAACTCCCTAGGAAGAAAGGTAACTTGTGTATGTGTGTGTGTATATTCAAGTTTAACCTTAATCTGAGTTTGGCTACATCAGATTAAAAAAAAAAATTTTTTACTTCTATTAGTCAAGTACTTACATAAGCAGAATATCTGAGGAAATCACTAACCATATGCAATTAAAGTTAGAAAGTAAACAGATGAAAAAGTGACAGTCAGTATTTGGACTATTTGTAGCAACACACCAAGAAAACTTTTATAAGAACAAAACTTTAAGTTCAAGCTCAGTAACAAGGGTCTAATTGATAAATGAGATCATTATGTACAAGATGATTCCCTTTTCCCCCTGCTGTTTTCTGGCTCATCCCAGATTACTGTAGAGAGATTTATGAAGTCACTTAAAGAGCTCCAAAATGCTACAATGACTTTCATATTCAAAAATGTATACTATCTAATGTTCCTGGAATTCTTTACCAAAAGTTGTATGATAAAATTTTTAAGGCAATTTTAATTTCTCCAAATACATACATGCTAGGACTTGGCTTAGTATCTGTGAAGATAATTTTAGAAGAGTATGACTTTTGGTGATGCACTACAGTGAAACCACACATGGGAATGTGCTGCTTGAAATAATATATACAGACACACACACTGCCTCTACCACTACCTCCATCACATGGAGAGAATCTCACATTATTGGTGATATGTTTTTGGTTTACAAGTGAATTTTAACGACAATACCATTCTCTAGTGGACACACACACACAATCTAAATTTCCACATAATTCTTTTTCATTTTTAGAACAGAGAAATTAGATCAGGGTGACTTGACTATAGCTGATTCCTTAGACTTTTATGATAAGTAACTAATGGATTGTTTACTGAAATTCTAATCTTTAGCAGCTCTTCATATAGTGAGGAAATAAGCAACAAAGTAACATTTGTTAACTATCCCAAGATATAGTAAAGAGAAAACATAATTAGTAAGGTAGTTTAGCCACCTAGATTAATAATTTTTAATATTTTATTTCAGGATCATATAATATATAAAGAAAATTAAATCAACTTAATCTAACAGCAGTATTTACCTCCTTCCCTATGAGACCTCCCCATCCAGACCACCAGACAATGTGTAGCACAAGACTATGTATCAAAAGTTAAGCAAACTTGTCACACTTCATCAATATTTGTGTGTGTTAATTCTGAAGCTTAATAAAAACTAGATGTTATATAAATGTGAATGATTTAAAGAAAAGTAAGACACACCAACATCATGTAACAAAGTGAAAGTTGATGTATGGATATACATACATCATTCTATATAAAAATTCAGATATGAATATTTACATTTACTAAAAATAAATCTGTTGAAAGGTAAAATAGTATATTTTTCTGTAAATTAATTTGGCATGAAGAAAGCAAGATGAAATAAATATATTTATACTTCTCTATGTATAAATCTCTCTCTATATATATCCTTTGGTCTACTAATTTTATATCTGAGATTTACATATACACATTTTAGTTACTTGTAACAAAAATGCCACCCAAACCATGTAATTGGATGATAACAGAGAGGGCTAAATAAAGCATGGTATACTTATATACTAGAATATTAAGAAGCTAATATGATTAATTTTTAGGGTTTTTTAATCATGATAAAATATACATAACATAAAATTTATCATTTTAACCATTATTAAGTGCACAATTCAGTGGCATTAAGTACATTAACACTGTTGTGCAACCATTACCATTATTCATCTCCAGAATATTTTAATCATCCTATACAACAGAAACATAAAAAAGAATTACACTCAGTATTTAATATTCTTAGAGATACAGCAAAGATAGTTCCCAGAAACAGATAGTGCTATGGGAAAAAAAAAATCAAACAGGAAACAGAAAATAATCCTAAAATGAAAATTATGACTAGTTGTAATAAACATTGATGAGACAGAAGATAAAGAATTCAAGGTAATCTTTTAAAGAGTAGAATAAAATGATAAAAGTCTGGACAATATGAAAAGTAAGAGACTAAAGAGATAAATTCAGGATATTCAACATCTAGCTAATAGAAATTCTAGAAAAAGTCAAAACAGAAAACAAAGAGAAGTCATCCAAGAAACATAATTCCCTAGAATAGAAGAACATGAATTTCTAGTCTGAAGAACCACAATCATCAGCACAATGAATAAAAATAGATGCACACAAAGGCACATCATTATAAGAAGATAATGAAAACCAACAAAATAAAAAGTCTCTGAAGGAGAAATCAGGTCATTTATGAAAGAACAAAAATTAGAATGACGTCCTAGGCTTCTTAAAAGACCCTGATGCTGGGAAAGAATGAGCAGAAGGGGAAGGGGGCAATGGAGGATGAGATGATTAGATGGCATCACTCATTCAATGGACATGAACTTGGACAAATTCTGGGAGATGGTGAGGGGCAGGGAAGCCTGGTGTGCTGCAGTGCATGGGTCACGAAGAGTCAAACACGACCTGGTGACTGAACAACAGACTTCTTAACCAAATTGGATTCAAGACTAACATCTTTTCAGTATCACAATTTAGACTTTATATTCTCAGTCAGTCAAATACAGGGCAAAAAAAATACAACTTCAAACACAAAAGATCCAAAATTTACATCCATAAAACATTTCTTGTCAAGTTGCAAGTGATGTGCCATAGCAAAACAATGCAATAAAACAAGAAGGAAAAAGAATGGGACCCAGGAACCACAGCTTCAACTCAGGACAACAATAAAGGGAAACATCCCTATGCTAACGTGGGATAGCCAGAGAGGACTGTGTGTAGTCCTCACTGAAGCAGGAAGATTGAGGGTTGTGAGACTGAGGTCTCCAAGAAAAATGCATGACTTAACTGAATAAGCCAGTCTTTGTTTTAAAACAAAACTACATGCATGAATACATAAGGCAAGGTAAAATGAGGGGAAGAAAAAAAAGAACTCTAGAAATTGCTGGGTTGGGGAAGAGCACAAGGCTGTTCAAGAAAGTGAAACTGAACAACAACAAAAAAAAGAAAGTGAAACTGAATTAACTGAAACTAGAGCTATATTTACATTGGGAGGACACTCAGGAAGAGAGTAGATAAGGCCTACATTAGATAGAGCAAGAAACAGCAGGATGAAGATATTAAAACATATGGAGGACTAACAGAAGAAATACCAGAAAGATTGAAAAGTGTTTCTGGTAACTAGGTAGAAGAAGATGGGGTTATTTTTCATTGTATATTTTTAAGAACTACTTAATTAAAATATGCTACATGCATTAATTTGATAAAAATAGAAAACAAAATACTTTAAAATACTCTGGTCACAGTGAGATTTTTATTTTGTAAACTATTTAACTAGGATTGGTCTGATTTACTGATTTACAGTGCATACAATACAACTCAAACCCTAAAGGAAATACAAACAACACACGGGGACAGTGAGAGGGTTATTCCCTCAATACACCCCTAAGAATGTTAGCAACAGGATTACTCACTGAGAACTGAATGTCTAAGCATACTGGATGAAGGGAGAGACACCTTAAAACTCATCCGAAAGAGATGGAGTGATGTCAGGCTAAAACCTGACTTGCAAAGCTTAAAGGAATTACAATATCTACAGAAATCCCTTGTGAATCAAAAGGGGGCTTGTCAGCAATGGAAGCACAGGAAGGGGAGTTACAAAGGCAAAAATGGCTTATATTCCGGGAAGAGGTAAGTTACTATAAGTAAAGGCTCATATATCTCCAAAATGAAGACATGAAGACATATGTATAGTCGTCCTTACAACAAGGCATTTAAGTCCTTGCTCTAACTCCATTCTCATCAAGCATGCTTCTGACATTATTTAACTTTCCTTGTAAACGTATGAATGGAGAAAGAATGCAAAGATCATAAAATGAGTGTTTGGTTCACTTAATGCTTGTACTTCCCATCATGTATTTTATACATAAATAAATATGCGACCTTAATTAATCTTGCATGCTCTGGAAGAAGACTCTCTTTTAATGTGCTATCAAAAAGCAGGCTCATGACCTTGCAGGAATGAGACCTACAAGCCAGACCACACAAATTCACAAAGGGACTGTGACACTGGGAATGTCAGAGGATCCAGCATCTTTCCCCCTTTCCTTTACAATAAAATAAGTGAAAAACACAACTTTTCAGATATATGTCAATCGTACAAGAAAATACAAAGCTAATGCTAATTTTGCCACAACTCTTAATACCCACATTTAGTGAACGTTACCGGACTGAGGAGTCTGGAGAGGCGACTGCCACCAAGCAGCAAGCTGACAGAGGCTACAGGGCTATTTCAAGACAGCTGTAGACTTGTCGAGATTTTCAGTATCATTTGCGCGTTCATTTCCATTGGCATAATCAGAAATTCCTTGGGAATAAAATAGTATTTCCTACCCCCTCACCCCCCACCGACACACACATATCCTTTCCTTCCAAATCAAATAGCAAAGGAAATGCAGAAGACTTACATGGCACTGTGGTTCCAAATCTAGTGGGATTTAACACTATGAACCTGTTTTTCAAGCTTCTCCGTCCCACACCTTGAGCTCCTATCAATACTAACGTCTTTCTCTGGAAGGGAGGCATTTTGGCTACCTCCTCATATATCTGGATTTCATGACGATCGAATTCTAAATGTAAGGAAATAGGAAAACATCATATTCAGTTCTGTTCAGTGATGTTTTAGCTGTCTTGATAGTGAAGTATCACTTGCACTGTACTGACTTAGCGTAGATTTTTAAAAATAAATTTGGTAAAGTACAATAAATTATTTTGTATTCTGATTTAAACATTTGCTTCCATCCTTTTGCCTTAAAAATCTAACAAAGCTAAAAAAGTGTCCTTGCTTTATCCTTATAAGACAGTCTATCCATTAAAACTTGTTTCTTTGCAATTCATCAGTAGAAATAATTAGTTAATATAATCAAATTGCAAATTAGTTTATGTAATCTATTCCACTAAAAAGTGCATATCAAAAAGGATAGCCGTATACCTAGAGTAGCTGCTTAACTAAGTTTCATAGAATGAGTACCCCTTCCAATGATATAAATGAATAAATATTGTGTGGCAAACTCTGCAAATATCAGTTTGACTAATAAAATGCATACAGGTAACATAATAACATTTAAATGTTAAGATTCTAAATTTATGTATAAAATAAAACGTTGATCCCAATTATTTTCAGTAGAAACACATTCCAAAATTACAACCAATGGGAAAATGAAAAATGTTCCATTTTGCAAGGAAGCTTTAAGTATATGTTTTTAACGAATAATAAAGACAAAGAGAACCTGAAGTATTATGTTACCTATTATTATGGCTACGACTCTCAACCTACAGTAGCAACGCTTCTTCCTTAGCCATTATCTGAATAGCAACACTTTCTTTGTACAATTTCTCCACAGTAGGTTAAGGGAGAGTCTATTTTCCCCTTATTATATTATTATTATTATTGCAATATGTCATTATTTTCTTTATAGTGTGCTGTTGATTTTATTACCAGCATAGAGGAAGCTCTAAAGTCCAGAAAGCACTTTATAATGATCAGTTCTTTTGAGTCTTTGAGTCAGAGTCTCCAGAGCCTTCTGATTCAAAGAGCTGCATGTCACTCTTAGCAGCCTCTACAACTGAAAAGAGTAACTGGTAGGTGTCATATTTATCTGTCTTTAAATCTAAAAAATTTAAGAAAGAATCCTATTAGATCAGGCTAAGATTTGTTTGGTCCAGTACTGTTTCTCCAAAAGCATCATGGATAACGTTATGGTGGAATACGTCTGCCATTAATCATAACACTTTTAACATAGTCATAAAAAGGGATTTTGTTCTGTAGAAATAACACACAAATTCCTGTCAAAGTTCTTAAAAAAATAATTTCAATTGTCACATTGTTCCTTCATTAATACAAGCATAAATCTTAAGCAATTCATTTCATTGTAAATTATGCTCATAAAATAAAGCACACTGGTGATAGTACAAGCATGTATATCAGGACTTAAATAATGCCTACATGTTACTGCACTGAGTGTCCACATCGCAGTTCCTTGCAATCGGGTACTAATATGAATTAATTCATTTAAAATTATACATTTAGAACATATGCCAGATTGACTAATGATAAAGCTATTTCATAGTTCACTTGGACTTCTCAAAAAAGTATTTAAAACATACCTGCATTTCTGGTTGTGAGATACATCATCTTTTTCTTTTTTTTGCTACTTATGGTTCCACAAAAAGGTCCTGAAGGATGACAAGGCAAATATAACTTAAACGGTATGTCAGAATATATACATTGCCCTGTAGTATTCTATAGGGCTGGGAGAATTATCTTCCCAGGGTTGCATCCTACAGAGCAGAAATGGGCAGGGGTGAGCTGAGCCACTGAATTCTGATGTAATACCAGCAGGTGGCAGAAAGGGATCAAAAAGTTTACTTTTGAGAGTGATACAATGAAGCAGATATTGATTCTAGGTATATTTTAAATAAATTCATCTGCTAATTCAGATGAAAGAGGCAAGAAAACCGAGGCCACAAATGGCTACTTGTTACTTATTATTGTGTCGAGTTCATCACCTGAATTGTCCCAGTCTCTTCTAACAAAGGCCTTTCTCTTCTCTTCCAGGAACTGGCTTGGAATGAGGCCAGCACTTCCTCCCTCTTTTACATGGCTAGCCTAGAATCAAATTAATGAATTGTATGTATCAGTGACTAAGATTTGAGACCACATTCTAATAAGCAGGACAAGCAGTAGTCAGTTAAAAAAAATTTGCTCTTAAGAAATGGACCTTGATATTTAAGTCCATGGTACTGTCAGGATACTGAAAGACCTTACTACTGAGGAATCAATGGACTCCTAACCAGAGTGCCAGCTAGTAATGAAATTTTGAGACCAAAATACAAACGCATACAGGATGTTTAAATTATGAATAGCTTTTTATTTATAATAGTAAGCTAGTGGGAATGGAAAGGAATCAAGACTGTTCTCTGTGTTAGCGCTTGTTAGTTAGGTGTTAACTATCATATTAATCCCACTACAATGGTTTTTCCTGAGGCCAAATCAAAGTGGGGGCGGGCCGGGAAGACAGCAGGGGAGAACAGAGTGGAGGGTTTAATTCATGCTGCCAGGAATCTGAATATCCTGAGAGGGAGAGTAAGTTTAAAACGGGTAAAACATCACCTACTTCGCTCATTATTAGAGAAATGCAAATCAAAACTACAATGAGATATCACTTCACACTGGTCAGAATGGCCCTCATCAAAAAGTCTACAAACAATAAATGCTGGAGAGGATGTGAAGAAAAGGGAATACTCTTGCACTGTTGGTAGGAATGTAAATTGATACAGCCACTATAGAAGATGGTATGGAGATTCCTTAAAAAACTAGGAATAAAACCACCATGTGACCCAGCAATCCCACTCCTAGGCATATACCCTGAGGAAACCAAAATTGAAAAAGACTCATGTATCCCACTGTTCATTGTAGTACTATTTACAATAGCTAGTACATGGAAGCAACCTAGATGTCCATTGACAGATGAATGGATAAAGAAGTTGTGGTACATATACACAATGGAATATCACTCAGCTATAAAAACGAACACATTTGACTCAGTTCTAATGAGGTGGATGAACCTGTGACTGCTATACAGAGTGAAGTGAGTCAGAAAGAGAAAGATAAACGCCATATTCTAACATATGTATGGAATCTAGAAAAATGGTACTGAAGAATTTATTTACAGGGCAACAGTGAAGAAACAGACATAGACAATAGACTTATGGACATGGGGAGAGGGGAGGAGAGGGTGAGATGTATGGAAAGAGTAACAAGAAAACTTACACTACCACATGTAAAATAGATAGCCAGTGGGAATTTGCTGTATGCCTCAGGGAAAATGAAACAGGGGCTCTGTGTCGGGCTGGAGGGGTGGGGCAGGGAGGGAGTTGGGAGGGAGGTTCAAAAGGGAGGGGATATATGGCTGATTCATGTTGAGGTTTGACAGAAAACAGCAAAATTCTGTAAAGCAATTATTCTTCAATAAAAAATAAATTAATTGAAAAAAACATAACTTTTAAACTGAAACCCAAAGTATTTCAAAACAGTGGCTGGAGAACTGGCTACTAGAGATACTGGCTTATCGCACAGTGTTAGTGACTGTACCCTTACAACTAGAACAGAAAAATCCAGTATTATTTTTAGCAATTAAAATCTTGAAAAATACATTTTGAGTAACAGATGACAAAAATGCGGGAAGAGACAGATAGATAATGCTGACAGGGTTAGAAGAAAACTAAGAGATGGCATTCAGAGAGAAGGGGGGAAAAAGAAACTTGGGAAAGTTCAACAAAGAGAAAGCCCAGATATTTTTAGATGAGAGTTCTAAGAAATTCAGTTGAAACCTCTTGAACTCATGGATTCTGTTTACTCATTTCTTAGTTCTCTCACCACATAGTACACTTATACATTGTAACATCTTAACTTGAAGGACATATTAGCAAGATTGTTCTTATTGTTATAATTCATCCCCCCTCAGAAGTCAATATAACTTATTAGAGTTAATTTGAGCAGGTCAGGAAGCAACAATTAAAACTGGACATGGAACAACAGACTTGTTCCAAATAGGAAAAGGAGTACGTCAAGGCTGTGTATATTGTCACCCTGCTTATTCAACTTATATGCAGAGTACATCATGAGAAACGCTGGGCTGGAGGAAGCACAAGCTGGAATCAAGATTGCTGGGAGAAATATCAATAACCTCAGATATGCAGAGGACACCACCCTTATGGCAGAAAGTGAAGAAGAACTAAAGAGCCTCTTGATGCAACTGAAAGAGGAGAGTGAAAAAGTTGGCTTAAAGCTCAACATTCAGAAAACTAAGATCATGGCATCCGGTCTCATCACTTCATGGCAGGTAGATGAGGAAACAGTGGAAATGGTGGCTGACTTTATTTTTCTGGGCTCCAAAATCACTGCAGATGGTGACTGCAGTCATGAAATTAAAAGACGCTTACTTCTTGGAAGGAAAGTTAAGACCAACCTATACAGCATATTAAAAAGCAGGGACATTACTTTCCCAACAAACGTTCGTCTAGTCAAGGCTATGGTTTTTCCAGTGGTCATGTATGGATGTGAGAGTTGGACTATAAAGAAAGCTGAGTGCCGAAGAATTGATGCTTTTGAACTGCGGTGTTGGAGAAGGCTCTTGAGAGTCCCTTGGATTGCAAGGAGATCCAACCAGTCCATCCTAAAGGAGATCAGTCCTGGGTGTTCATTGGAAGGACTGATGTTGAAGCTGAAACTCCAATACTTTGGCCACCTGATGCGAAGAGCTGACTCATTGGAAAAGACCCTGATGCTGGGAGGGATTGTGGGCAGGAGGAGAAGAGGACGACAGAGGATGAGATGGTTGGATGGCATCACCAACTCGATGGACGTGGGTTTGGGTGGACTCTGGGAGCTGGTGATGGATAGAGAGGCCTGGCGTGCTGCGGTTTATGGGGTCGTAAAGAGTCTGACACGACTGAGCGACTGAGTGACTGAACTGAATGACTGTTTAGTTGCTCAGTGGTATTTGACTCTTTCTGACCCCATGGACTGTAGCCTGCCAGGCTCCTCTGGCCCTGGAATTCTCCAGGCAAGAGTACTGGAGTGGGCTGCCATCCCCTTCTCCAGGAGCCTTTCCCAGGAACTGAAGCTGGGTCCGCTGCACTGCGGTCGGGTTCTTTACCCTCTGAGCCAGCAGGGGAGCCCTGAGCTACTAGCATCTCGGTTTGAGTCAGAGCTCAGCGTGGACCCCGGGTCCTTCCCTCTCACAGCCTGCTCCTTAAGGAGACTCTCTTTTACTTTGACACTTTAAGGAATTTTAGACTTTGTCTGTCCGGTTCTGGTTGTTAGTCTACGTAAACAATTACAAAAACAGACTTATTGCGGCTGCTAGAGACTTCTGAAAACTGTATTAGTGGAAAGGAAAAACAAGAAGACTATCACACACATCTTCTGAAAAATGGAGGGGGAAAAGACAGTGGTAACACACATCCCTTTCTATATACACAGATTTTAATCCAAAACCAAACAACACAGATGATAAAGCAAACCTTTAACTCTCAGTAACTGAGGTGGGCAAATAGATTCAAGAATTAGAGAAATTAAATTTTATTTGTCATGAATGTACATACAGTGAGAGGAGACAAGAGGAACACTACTCCACCCACAGTAAGACTCCTAGTTAAAACAAACACCGAAAAGGATGACCTCAGATGAGCTGTTCCTGCTGAGTACTATATTTTACTGTAATCTTATGTGGAAGAACCGACTGGTCTAGTCTCTAAACCACAGGCTGGTTAGTACTGACTTTATTAACAGCTACTCACAAAGTCCCTCTCAATTTGGTCTTCTGTCCACAAAATTAATAGCCACGAAGTGGGAGCTGTTCATGCGGGGGAAAAAAAAATCACTGGAACAAATAAAAATACTTTCCTCCTGAATATTCAGAAATTGGTCAGATCTAAGATTGAAAATAAGAAAGCAGGTGAAGAAATTTTGAGAAGTGTACTAACCTGCCACCAGTTTGGGTCTTCTCTGTTTACAATCTGAAGAATTTCTCCTTTTGAAAACTTCAATCCTGCTTCTTTGCAGGGTATCAGGTTATCATTGTATGGATTATAATCAAAATGACATTTCACAAATACCTAAAACACAGCATAATTAAAAATACTAGAAATGCACCATCTGTCACTGGATTTTGGAAGTCTTTTTCAAAGCGCTGTGATTTAATTGATAATGTAAATGATAATGTATTTAGTACTTCAACTAAGGAACTTGTTTTTAAATATAAAGTTATTAGCACATCAATAATTTGGCATCAGAAAACAAAACAGGAAATAAACATTAGTACTACATTAGATTTTTGTTTCTATCTTTAACTTCAAATCTTAACAGTTTAACAACTGCTTTCTTCCACCTTTCTTGCTTTCTCACTTTCTCCCAATCTTTTCACATGATTGTCCAACCAACAGTGCATAATTTTTATGCAAGTAAATGCCACTTTCTAATTAACATCCTGAACTAATATATGCAGTTAGGTCATAAGTTTCAGATATAGTAGTAATGACTTTTTGAAAGGTTCCTAAAGCCAAAATTAAACAATAAAGGTTCATGTTGAAATCAGACCTGAAATATAGTCAGTAATCTTTTTTTAAAAAAGACAAACTTTCATCCATGGTAAAAACACATATTTTTAGTCACATAGATTCACATTGGCCAAAAGTTGTGAGGAAAATACTTTTCTGGAATTATCTTGCTTTGATGTAAGTAATCAGCATCAAATTAATAGTAAGACAAATACTAAAAAAGCCCTGAAGCTATTTTCCAATTTAAATTCATGTAACTATGCAAATTTCTTTTAAATCTGTTTTATTAATAAAACTATGTCAGTTACCATGGTTAGTTATGATTTCCAATATCCAAAATATTTAGTTTATTTAATTTTGAATTCTAGTTAAGCATTTTCAGTATTCAATGGCAAGTTCAGACTAATTACTTTCTTACTACAGACCTTTTCCAGGCATACTTATAGAAATTTAAATTTTGTCTTCTAGAGAACTAAGCATTAATCAGCAGATAAACTAACAAGCAGGAAAGCACATAGTCAAAATAATAATGTTACTTTCCTATGTTTATCATACTTCTATAAATATAACCAAATAGCATATTCAAACAGCACAAATAGATCAATTACATTATTAGTGTAGTAAAATGTAATGTGATGGATGCATATTAAAATAATTTAAAAATAATTAAATTTGGAAACATAACAAAATTTTAGTTATTTACAATTAGATGATTTTGATAGAAAGCATTCAGAATATTTTCAATAACTTTTGAAAGGCTAAATATTAATGCTTAAAAAAAATCAGCAAGCCAGTAATTTTTTCCCTGATACACAATTTTAGAAATATCTACAAAGCAAGCATACAAACAGCATTATGACTGCTAAAATGTGACAACTGGCTAACTTGACAATGGCATGCAGCTCAGTGGTTTGGCAATGGAAAAAATCCAGAATGATTAAGTGTAATTAGGTAAATTTAGTTGGCTAAAAAGACAGAAACAAGGAGTACCACAAAATGTCCTGGAATGACACCATACCTGACGGACGTGTGCTGGATGCCTCTCCATATTGATGCAACTCTAAAAATATATTTTTCATTGCATAAATAAAGCCAGACTTTAAACTGATAATAAATAAACAAAATATAAACAAACTACCGGCCCATTTTCATTTCATTCACTTGGTAAAGCAACTACTTCCCTAATTAAATGTCCAAAAGGTATAATACCTGAAAATTATAAATGATAGAAGCAAAAGTTAGTGGAGATGAGGTAGAAATGAAGGAGGGATATGTAAAAGCTGTAAAAAAAAAATACTTGGATACTCCTTATTTCTCATAAAAGCTGTACTGGACGAATAGTAAGAGGATCCTATCATCTAACCATGAATGTGTCTATTTGTCTTATCTGTGAGTCAGAATATACTTTGTAACAAAAGGCTTAGACATTCTCAGTCCAATTCAAATATTCATTTCTCTACTCCCATCAAATGGTGCTGGAAATGTCGTCATTTGTGAAACAAACCACATCTCTCAAATGTAAATGATTTCTAGAAGAAACGATTCTTATTTTTTTCATTAACTAAATTAGTTTTGGGGCATTACTCTCATGCTCCAAACACTCAGATTGTATTAGTTTTACTCTGACCTTTGAAAATTTGTCTGAAAAATCAATTAACCCCAACCTTTGATTGAAACATTTTGCAATGAACTTTAAATCATAGAGATTTGACTAGATTTTGTACAATTATATTTTATTAAGCACATTTAAAAATGTTTCACTAATAAGCTATGGATGTTAACTGTTTATTGGTTAAGAAGTGAGTAAACACAACCTGCTAATATATTTCAGTCTCATATTCTAATCACTAACAGCACTAAATGATCAACAATCTAAAGGAGATGGAATAGAAAAAAGAAAGTGGCTTTTAAAACAGGAAGCAATGTTAACCTCACTCAGAGTAGAAATACAAATTAAAGCTATATTATAGTACATTTTCCTCCCATCACATTAGCAGGAATCCAAATATCTGACAACATGCTGTAGATAGGAAAATGCCAGTTGGCTCACAGTCCTAACAGGTTGGTGGAAGAACTGATTTAATCCCTTGAGAGGCCAATTTAGCAACCAACAGCTATCAAAATTACAAAAACCCTCTGACCTAGTAATCCATCTTTGGAGATGTACTCAATAGCAGTGTTACTCAGATATATGTTACTCCTCTTACATAGGAGATTATTAACTATTATTTCTTAATCAAAAGAGATTGGGAGCAATCTAATTGTTTAACAATAGGAAGTGAGGACTAGACTGGTAGTAGATTAGGAGAGAGATTTCAACTGAATACATATTCCTACTTCTTGACTTTTAGAACCTTCTAAATGAAAACTAAGTTCTATGGTAATGAAAGTAAAGGTAAAATGACTCCCCCTTCTGACTAAAATGAAGTACCAAGGACTCATTCTCTAACCTGAGACAACTAAAATATTGGACAAAATGTATGAAATGTTTGTGGAGACATCAGACTACAAAGACAATGATCCTTAAAAAATGGAAACAAACAAGATGAACTTTACCTCTGCCCCAACTAACTGCCGAGAAAGTTTCCAGGTGCAATGCAAGAAGGGGGACTCTGGGTAGAAGACTGATGGTCTCCACCTTGAGGAGATGAGCTGAGTGACCAGGGCCATCAAAGTGGCCACAGTGCACAGACAGAGCAACCGTAAGGAAAGTCTGCACAGAGAAAGAACTTGAGAACTGCAGAGGACTCCCTCCAGGTTCAGCTGAATACTAATCAGGTAAAGAGCAGCATTAACGGGCAAAGATATCAGAAGGTCATGTAACATCAAACAGTTTCTATCACCATTGTGAGTGAAAAAACTTCACAACTCATCAAGAATTCAGTATTCAAAAGAGTTTTGCCCTAGACTTAGTCTTACTCTGGTTTCACCTAACAAAGCTTATAAAACAAAATCTGAAAGGGTCTGAGTGCTCCCTTTTAACTATTCTAGAACAAAGCTTGAGTATATTTCTAAGAATAACAAAATATCCAGTACTCAACAAGATAAAATTCAGTTTTGGCAGCCAATCAAAAATAACCAGACATGCAAATAAGCAGGAAAATACAATCTAAAATATGGAGAAAAGAAAAATAAACCAGTGAAGAGTGACACAAAAATGACAAATAGGACTGAATTAGAAGGCAAGGACATTAAAATAGTTATTTTTAACTTTACATATTGTAGCGTATATTCAAGAAGCTAGAGGAAGGATTCAACATGTTAGGTAGAAACATGGCAGATATAAAGAAAAAAAGATTCAGTTCAAATTTCTAGAGATGAAAACAAAAATACCTGAGATGAAAAGCATACCACATATGATTAACAGCAGATTAGACATCTTAGGGGAAAAAAAGAATAAATGTGAAGACATTGCAACAGAAACTGTCCAACATAAAAAGTGGGAGAGAGCAAGACTGAATAAATGAAGAGAGTATCAGTGAGCTATGGGACAACTTCAAGGAGCCCAACATGAATAACTCATATATCACCAAAGGGTAGGAGAAACTGAGGAACAGAAAAAATATTCGAAGTAGAAACAATCAAAACAATTTCCAAATCTAATGAAAGAAACAGTCTTTTCAACAAACAGAGCTGGAAAAACTGGATACCCAGATGCTAAAACAGAAACAGAAAATCCAAACCAATTCTTTGATCCATATCTTATACCCTATACAAAAATTCAGAGAAAATGGATCATAGAACAAGATGCAGACTATACAACTAAAGGTGAAAATCTTTATAACCTTGTGTTGTACAAACATTTCTTTTTTACACAGAGAAAAAGCATGATTCATTAAAAAAAGGACAAATTAGACTTCATCAAAATTAAGAACATCTGCCTTCATATTATACTGCTAAAAGAATGAAGACAAGCCTTCTCACTAGGAAAAAAATTTTTGTAAATCATAATTCAGATAAAGTACTTGTATCAAAACATAAAGAACTCTCAAAACTAAACAAATGGAAAAAAAAACTCAATAAAAAATGGGTGAAAGATTTGAAGACATTACAATTGTCATAACCATGGCAAATAAGCACATGAAAAGATGCTCAATATTAGCAATCATTAGGAAAATGCCAATTAAAATCACCATAAGACACCATGCCACCCTTATGAGAATGGCTAAAATTATAAAGACTGACTATACCAAATGCTGGTGAAGATGTGCAGTAATTGCAACTTTCATGTAATGTTGGTGGAAATGTAAACTGGTACAACCACTTTTGAAAATAGTTTGGCCATTTCTTTAAAAGTTCAACATACAACTATCAAATGACCCAATACTTTAAGTCTTAGGTATTTACTCAAGGGACTTACATGTAAATGTTTAGCATCTTTATTTATAATAGCCCCAAACTAGAAACAACAGAAATGTTCACTAGCCAGTGAGTGGATAAATCCAACTGTGGAACAGCCATGTAATGGAATACCCCTTGTCAATGAGAAGGAATCAACTATGAACACACATGAAAACATGGTTACATCCCTCAAATAATTATGCTGAATGAAAGAAGTC